TGTGTGTGTATGGTGTGTGTGTGTGTGTGTGTGTGTGTGGTGTGGTGTGTGTCTTGTGTGGTTATTTGTTGTGTTGTGTTGTAGTGTGTTGTGTGTGTGGTGTGTGTGTGGTGCGTGTGCTGTGTGTGTGTGTGTTATGTATATATATATTATATATACTATATATTATAATATATATATATATATATATATATATATATATATATATATATATATATATATATATATATATAATATAAACAAATATATGTACATATACACACATGTGTAATACACACAGCACACACGCATACACATTGTATCTGTATCTGTATGATTCACAAGATCTTTCCTAGACTCTACTGATTTGACCGAAAGAGACATAATTTTGTGCGGAGAAAAAAGAAAGAAAACGAGAATCTCAATGACAGACCAATTTTTTTTTATAATTGGATGACATATCGAATGATCTTTTTTATATATAAATGCTTTTTACTTTCGTTCCTCTCAATTATATTTTTACGTTCCTCGCCACCATCCAATGAGATCATTTCTCACGTCTTTTATTTCTTTTTACAACGTTTTCACTCCGACACGCATCCCACCCTTCTTTTTTTTCTTTTGTTTACACGGGCGCCATCTTTGTTTACGTTAACCGATTTCTTTACCAGCTACCGGAGTGAGTTTCCTTTTACGTGACTTGCTAAATCTTCTCGGTCTATCATTTTGATATTGTTCTGAAGAGGAAGTCTTAGCTTTTCTATTATTATGATCATTATCTCTTCTTGTATTTCTATCAATCTTTCTTTTTTTACATGGGCTTAGAAAATTGAATAGTTAGACTTTTTTTTTTTTTTTTTTTTTTTCTATCTTTCGAAATATTGCACCCTCATCTTTCGAAATATTGCACCCTCACCATCACTCCCCTTACCAAGTCAATCAACACGTATCCTCAAAATGATAATGAACACCACCATTCTCACCATTATCCCCATTAGCCCCCTTAGTCCGACGACCATCGTGGAAATCGCCCGGTTTTGCCCCGACTTGCACTGCACACCATTGAGCTACGACGTGAAGTTCGTCCCTCGCAACATGGCCAAGGTCCAACTGAGATGACCACGACGACCCCGATCTATCTCGGCCTCAAATCGCCGTCGGATTGGCCAGCGCTAATGGGCATCTAATGGGAAATCGATTAAGGGTCAATGGTCGTGACATTAGTGATGGATACAGTCTTTAAGGTTTTTTTTTAGGGTCTTGCTTATGTGTCCGTATTTTTTTTAGGTAAGTGGGTAAGGTATGTTGTCTGCGTGTATGTGTTTTATGTGTATGACTGCGTGTGCATGGCGGAAGGATGGGTATATGGATGGTTGGATAGTGTGGATATGTTTAGATAGACAGACTGATAGAAAGATAAAAGATGCATGTACGTATGCATTTTGCATGTATGTATGTATGTACATGTATACATACATACATACACATACATATCATATACATATATAATATATATATATATATATATTATATATATATAGATATATATATATATATATAACATACATACATAAATTACTGTTAAAGTGCAAATATATCTGCAATAAATAACCTCTCTTCTGTGTCTTCCGACCGACACAGCATGTTAATTCCCAACTCGAGAGCGAAGAAGTATAAAAGCCCTAAATCCAACGAAAAAACGAAAATGTCTATATTACTGCCTCGCCTGTGTTTCCTCAGACAATGCAAATTACGGTAAACATGCGACGGCAGCCATTGCTCTACCCCTCTCGCGGAGGATGTGAGCAGGAACAGCCGAACCGCTTATTTCCAGGTTGTAAAAAATGATTATCACGCTGAATTTTACACTGTGAATGAATATACCGATGGGCTTCGTATTTGCATATAAAATTATCGCTCTTCCCGCGAGGTTTGGATAGCAAGGGAAATATAAATATATTCGGTAAAATAAGTTTCCAGTAAAAGTAGAAATGAATTGACAGATAGTGGTAGTGTAGTAAATTTACTCTGTGCGAGAGTATGTATGTATGTGTATGTGTGCATCTTTATCTATATCTGTCTATCTACCTACCTATCTATATGAGTCTTATCTACGTCCTACTATCTATAATCTGTCTACCCTATATATATGTCTATCTATAACTGTATACCTATATGTCCTCATGTAACTGTATACTATAATTAATTTGCTATAATTTTATTTGCCTATGCTATACTACTTCTAATTCTATTCTATCAACAATAATCGACAGGTATCTTTACTATATTAGTCTATCTATCTGCCTACCTAATCATGTTCTATCATATCCCTAGATAAGCCACCTTCAAGTAGAATGCTCCGCACAGGGTAACAAGTATTATGAACTCGGTACCCCGTCCTTACAAAAATAAGAATGTTTATGCACACCAAAGCCTGGCTAATTGGTCATTGGCATCATCGACTACCCGTCCGTAGTTGGGACTTAAAAAGATTAGATATTTTATGCCGACACCAAAAGCAACTATTCAGATCCTAGATGAGGGAGATCAGACAGAGCATTCGAGAGATAAAGGCGATATTTACCGTTCTAATAAGTAAGACTATTTATTGTTAAAGAGAGCACCAAACATTAGCGGTATAACGGAACAGGGAAGCTCGCCTTGAGCACGAGCTACAGTATTGGTGGGGGAGAGCGAGGGCGAGTACATGGATTTATGCGGAGGTAGATGGAGAGAGATGAAGAGTATATCAGAAGAGTTTAAACTTCGGTTTGTAATTTGGAGATTGGGGAAGAACTTACGAGAGAGAGACAGACAGACGGACATAGAAAACGCAAGAGAAGAAAGGGTGAGTGGGGGGGGGGGGAGTCGAAGATCTAGAAGACATACTGTTGCGAATCTCTCCAAGGCCTGATATGAATGGTGACGTCAGCGTGTGTTTTATGGCCATTATATTGAAAAGGAAACTGACATCTATTCCCCCTCGTTGATGAGTCACGTTGACATTGGGCAGGTGATATTTTAAGTTTTATTTGAAACCGTATGAAATGACATGAATCTTTAAAAAAAAGGTAAATAAAAAAAAAATAATAAAATAAAATAAAGTAAATCAAATCAAATCAAATTAAATTGGTCAGATAAGAAGAGTAGGAAGAATAAGCAGAAGACAAGCAATATAAAAAGAAGATAATGATGATGATCATGATAAAAAGGAAGAAGAAGAAGAAGTGGAAGAGGGGGTGAGTGAAAGTCTGCGTACAGAAGTTTCAGAATTGCCACTAATGTTCGTTCATCCGACTCATGCACTGACTTCCGGAATTCCACCAGACCGTAATATATCACTTTTCGGCAACTGTTTTGAAAGAATTCGTTTAAAATATCGTCTGTGTGTGTGTGACTACCCACACAAACACACGCACTCACACACACACACACACACAGACAAACACACACACACAAACACACACACACACACACACACACACACACACACACACACACACACACACACACACACACACATACACACATACACATACATATATATTTATATATGAATCTATCTATCTATCTATATATCTATCAATGGTTACTTCATTCTTCAGCTACTATTCATTTATTCATCTTTTTATTCATTTATCGCTATGCCTATATCGCGTCTATAGCAATTTTACATTAGCAAGAAAAAAATATGAATACTTAATTATGACTGCATTTTCTCAACATTCACGGAACTAGAATCATTAAACCTGTATATCCACCTCTACAAGATTTGCACAGCCTGGATAATATCATCTTTGGTAATCAATATAACTATAAAAATATTATATCCAAACACACTCATTGCTGTACTAGTGAGTCTGTGTGTGTTTATCACCCAAAAATGAACCTTAATGTTAAGCTATAAAAAGGCTTAGATTTGCTTGCGTTATCACATTTAAGCATTGCACGTTCCAAAACGCTATTAAAACTCCCAAGATAATGACTTTCTGATATCTGTGCAATTTAAAGTAAATCCTTTTATACAGCTATTTTTTTTAGGTCATTCTCTCTCTCTCTCTCTCTCTCTCTCTCTCTCTCTCTCTCTCTCTCTCTCTCTCTCTCTCTCTCTCTCTCTCTCTCTCTCTCTCTCTCTCTTTCTATATATCTTTCTATCTATATCTATCTATATCTATCTATCTCGTTCGCTCTACTAATCTATTTATCCACATATCTCTTTTTTTCACGTCCCCCCTCCCCTCTATAACTCTCTCTCTTCCTCTCTCATTATCTCTCTCTACTTTTTATCAGCTGACTCAGCAATAAAAGAATAAGGTAATAGACACAACGAAGAAAGAAGACGAGTAGCATTAAATTCATAAAATCAAAAATATGATGAAAATAAAATCAACAATGAAAAAAAACTTATCAGAAACCATACATAAATATGAATAAGTTATTACTTTGATTTTTTTTTTTCTTTTTTGTTAATTCGTCTACTTAAAATGTGCAATAATTAATCAGGTAAGTGCAAGAAACGGTTGCATTAAAATAGACAAAAAAGAATAGTGTAAAAATCTTAAAATCTTATTGATACCGGTAAGTAAAAGTCTGAATCATTAAAAAAATATATATGCAATAAACATCGACTTTTGTGAATTGCTATCCATTTCTTTCTCTCTCGTTTATTTTCTTTTTTTTCTCTTTCTCCTTGTTTCTCTTCAGGAATTCCGTGTATTTTCCCATTTCCGAACCTTTTTTTCACAGAAAGAACTATAGGAAAGGTGCGTGCAATTGTGCAATAACGAACACACGTAAAAGATGAATCATTCACTGACCTAATATCAACCTTCCTATCCTTAACCTTTGACCCTGTGTTTGACCCCCAGCTGAGATTCATTTATAAAAAGCTCAGGTGGAGGTCATATAACTAGATCCTAACAAAATATGAAAAAAAGTATCTTCTATAAATAAAAATATGTATATATATGAATAAATAATTAATAAATAAACTCATGTGTAGTTACCGCAGTGATACTTACTCCATGGCAGGCCGTTCCAATTGGCTGTCAGACCTCGCCATTGGTTTTCTGGAAAGAGAAGAAAAAAATGTTAATAAAAATGCACTTATTATCCTATAGTATACATGTGTAGTTTTTTTTTCTTTCTTTCATTTTTTTTTTTGTTCAGAGGAAGACTATTTGGGAGGCAATGAACACCATTTGTTGGTCTTTAGATGATACTATAAGTATACTTTTAGTATCTGGAACAATGTCATTATCTCTAGCCTTCATTAACTGAATAGAATACATAACAATATATATATGTATATATATATATATATATATATATATATATATTATATATATTATATATATATATATGTGTGTGTGTGTGTTGTGTGTGTGTGTGTGTGTGTGTGTGTGTGTGTGTGTGTGTGAAGAGCGAGCGAGCGAGCGAGAGAGAGAGAGAGAGAGAGA